AAAACTCTCCTCACTTCTCTCTCTTTCCCCTCCCTCACTTCTCTCTCTCTCTCCACTTCCTCACTCTCTCTCTCACCTTTCCACTCTCCTCACTCTTCTCCTTCTTTCTCCACTCTCCTCCCTCTTGTCTCTCTCTCCCTCTCCTCACTCTTGTCTCTCTCTTCTCCCTCTCTCCTCTTTCTCTCTTCTCCCCTCTCCTCTCTCTCTCTCTCTCCCACTCCCTACTCTTCTCTCTTTCTTCTCCCTCCCCTCTTCTTCTCTTCTCCACCTCCTGGGAGTGGAGGAGTGGTGAATGGAGGGTGGAGGAGGTGGAAGGAGGTAAGAGAGGTGGAGGAGATGGGGGAGGCAGAGAGGGAGGTGGAGAGGTGGAAGGGAGGTAGAGAGGTGGAGGAGGTGGGAGGTAGAGGAGGTGAGAGAGGTGGGAGGGAGTAGAGGAGGTGGAGGGAGGTGGAGGGAGTGAGGAGGAGGTGGAGGGAGGTGGAGGGAACTCAATACACATGGCCTTTGAGAATCCATCTTCGTGTCATAGCTTAAAGCGAGTGGTTAAGTGAGGCGGCTCACTCACATATTCAGTACTGGGGAGGGAGGTAGAGAGGGGGAAGGAGGTAGGGAAGAGTTATGGAGGGGAGGTAGGGAAGGAGGAAGGAAGGAAGGAAGGAAGGAAGGAAGGAAGGAAGGAAGGGAAGGAAGGGGGGGAAGGGGGGGAAGGAGGGAAGGAAGGGAGGGAAGGGAGAGAAGGAAGGAGGGAGGGAAGGAAGGAGAGAAGGAAGGAGGGAAGGAAGGAAGGAAGGAAGGAAGGAGGGAGGGAAGGGGAGGGAGGGAAGGTAAGGAGGGAAGGAGAAAGGGAGGAAGGTATGGAGGGAAGGAGGAAAGGAAGGAAGGGAAGGAAGGAAGGAAGGGAAGGAAGGAAGGGAAGGAAGGAAGGAGGGAAGGGAGGAAGGAAGGGAGGGAAGGGAGGAAGGAGGGAAGGGAGAGAAGAAGGAGGGGGGAAGGAAGGAGAAGGAAGGAGGGAAGGAAGGAAGGAAGGAAGGAAGGGAGGGAGGGAAGGTGGGGTGAGGGGAGGGAAGGCAAGGGAGGGGGAAGGAGGAAAGGGAGGGAAGGTATGGAGGGAAGGAGGGAAGGAAGGAAGGAAGGGAAGGAAGGAAGGAAGGAAGGGAAGGAAGGAGGGAAGGGAGGAAGGAAGGAGGGAAGGGAGGAAGGAAGGAGGGAAGGGGGAGAAGGAAGGAGGGAGGGAGGGAAGGAGAAGGAAGGAGGGAAGGGGAAGGAAGGGAAGGAAAGGAAGGAGGGAGGGAAGGTAAGGAGGGGAGGGAAGGTAAGAGGGAAGGAGGAAAGGGAGGGAAGGTATGGAAGGAAGGAAGGAAGAAGGAAGGAAGGAAGGGAGGGAAGGAAGGAGGGAAGGGAGAGAAGGAAGGAGGGAGGAGAAGGAGACAAGGAGGAAGGAGAGAAGGAAGGAGGGAAGGAAGGAAGGGAAGGGGAAGGAAGGAGGGAAGGGAGAAGGAATGAGGAAGGGAGAGAAGGAAGGAAGGAGAGAAGGAAGGAGGGAGGGAAGGGAGGAAGGAAGGAGGGAAGGGAGGAAGGAAGGAGAAAGAAGGAAGGAGGGAAGGGAAGGAGGGAAGTTACAGCCTCTGAAAGAATTACTCTTGTGTGGTAGCTATGAGTCACGAGTTACGTACGAACCTAAAAAATATAAATAAATAAATAATATCCTGCTATTAACTTATCTGTACGTAGAAAATAATGATGTTAAAAATGTTAATAACGAAGGCAGACAATAAAACAGAGATGTTAAAATGTTAAATTGATTAATAACAAGTTAATAAAAAGTAATATATGTTAAATAATTGGTAAATATAACAAGATTTAATGTAATTTAACGTATTAACGAAGCAAGATATAGAATAATATTAATAATGTTATTATTTCATTTAACACTAATGATGTCATTAAAAATACAAATTGATATTACTTCAGTATTACTGTTATTACTTTTTACACCTCTGCCACCACTAATTACCTTAATATTAAATATCCAATACATACTAAGCTATCCTATCTGTGTTAAATTAGCTGAGCCGCAGATCCTATGCTAACCACTACTACCACTACTACTACCACACTACTACGGTAAATAAAGTGGCAAGTAATATGCATTAAAAAATACACCACTACTACATACTAATAATAATACACCACACAACACACAACAACAACAACCACAACAATAAAAACAAAACTAATATAACCACCAAAAAAGATGAATAAAAGTGAGAGCCTACAGCCTGCCCCCATTGTCATGCTGCACTGTCTCCTCATATGTATAAACTACACACACACATTATTCATTTAGATATAAATCTACAACAGAAACCCACCTCTCATCCTCACACACACGTCAAATCAGTTAAACCACCATCTGGGGAGGGGGAGATGGGTAGGGGAGGGGAGGAGGAGGAGGCAAGGAGTAGGGAGAGAAAGATGAGGATTGGAGGGGAGGTGAGGGTAGAGGGAGGGTGTAGTAGGGGACCATTCAGTGATTTAACCTCCCCTCCTCCCCTGAAAGTAAACCAATAAAACACCCATGACGTCATTAGCATACTGAAGAGTGGTACTGTCCTCCAATCACAAGTGGGCTGCTGGTGATGACGTCAAGGAGTGGCCTGTCATCTACTTTATCTCGACTGGATTTGTTTTCAAACGTGTGGGTTAATTTGCATACGGTAGAACCTCTATATAACGGACTTCTGTATAACGGACTTCTGTATAACGGACATTTGCATAACGGACTTACATTTAAAGAACTATTCTTTTACATATACTCTGTTAGAAGGCTTCAATTATAACGAAATATAATAATCATCATCATCGTCATCCTCATCCTCATCATCATCGTCACCATCATCATCATCATCATCATCGTCACCTCATCATCATCATCATCATCATCGTCACCATCACCACCATCATCATCGTCATCGTCATCATCATCATCATCATCATCGTCACCACCATCATCATCATCGTCAACACCAATCATCGTCATCATCATCATCAACGTCACCACATCATCATCATCATCATCATCATCGTCATCGTCACCATCATCATCATCATCATCGTCACCATCACCACATCATCGTCATCCCCATCATCATCATCGTCATCGTCACCATCATCATCGCTCAACATCATCATCATCGTCACCATCATCATCATCATCGTCATCCTCACCATCATCATCATCATCGCACACAACGTCACACACGTATCACACACATAATATCACCACTATCAATATCACACACCATCATCATCATCGTCACCATCATCATCATCATCGTCATCAATCGTCATCGCCACACAATACATTGTAACCAATTTCTCCAGCTGAATCCATACAGTTAACAGTCATGATTACACAAACACACACACACACACACACACACACACACACACACACACACACACACACACACACACCAAGACCTCAAGGGTCCCCATTCCTATTCACGTCTCTCTGTACTCCAAGATTCTCAGCAGGCTGCTGTGGAGCAACACACACAACAACACACACACACACACACACACACACACACACACACACCAGGCCACCCATGTGTGTGTGTGTGTGTGTGTGTCTAAAATTACTACATGAAGTTTTTGTTATGAATTAGGTTAGGTTTAGTTAGGCTAGGTTAGTTTAGTTGAATTAGGCTCATTAAGTTCCAGGCATGTATAAGCAGATAGACAATGCCTAACTTAGCCATTTCTCAGATGCGTCAGAAAGCTCAATGTATGCCACCTTACGCAAGCTCCACTAAGTAAGATCCAATTTTACACCCCACACCTTGACCTCCTAGCACTTACCCTGGTCTCTCGACCTCCTGGCATCCTTGACCTCCTGGTACCTTTGACCTCCTACACCCGTGACCTCTGGCACCCTCGACCTCCTGACACCCTTGACCTCCTGGCACCCGCTGACCTCCTGGCACTCTTGAACCTCTGGCACTCTTGACCTCCTGGCACCTTCGACCTCCCTGGCACCTCGACCTCTGGCAGCAGCACCTACTTCGACCTCCTGGCACCCTCGACCTCCTGGCACCTCGACCTCCTGGCACGCTCAATCCTGGCACCCTCTTGACCTCCCACAGCACCCCTTGACCTGGCACTCTCGACCTCCTGGCACTCTCGACCTGGCAGCCTTGACCTCCTGGTACCCTGACCTCCTGGCACTCTTGACTGGCACCCTTGACCTCCTGGCACTCTCGACCTCCTGGCAGCCTTGACCTCCTAGTACTTTCGACCTCCAGCACCCTGCCTCCTGTCACCCTCGACCTCCCATCATCGACCTCCTGGCACCCTCGACCTCCTGGCACCTCGACCTCCTGGCACCCTTGACCTCCTGGCACCCTCGACCTCCTGGCACCCTCGACCTCCTGGCACCGTTGACCTCCTGGCACCCTCGACCTCTCAACTGACTTCCGCACCTTGACCTCGCACCCTCGACCTCCTGGCACCACGACCTCCTGGCACCGTTGACCTCCTGGCATCCCTCGACCTCCTGGCACCACTCTTGACATCCTGGCACCGCTTGACCTCCTGGCATCTCGACCTCCTGGCACCTTGACCTCCTGGCACTTTCGACCTCCCAACCCTCGACCTCCTGGCACCCTCGACCTCCTGACACCCTTGACCTCCTGGCACCCTCGACCTCCTGGCACCCTCGACCTCCTGACACCTTGACCTCCTGGCACCCTCCCTGGCACCCTCGACCTCCTGGCACCCTCGACCTCCTGGCACCCTTGACCTCCCGGCACCCTCGACCTCCTGGCACCCTCACACCTCCTGGCACCCTTGACCTCCTGGCACCTCGACCTCCTGCGCTGACCTTCTGCTTTGCCTCCTGGCACCCTCGACCTCCTGCACCTTGACCTCCTGGCACCCTCGACCTCCTCTTTGACCTCCTGGCACCCTCGACCTTCTGGCACCTCGACCTTTTGGCACCCTGACCTCCACGACACCCTTGACCTCCTGGCACCTTGCTGACTGCTTTTGCCCGACCTCTGGCACCTCTTGACCTCCTAGCACCCATGACCTCCGCACTTTGACCTCTCACCGTTATCCTGGCACCCTCGACCTCTGGCATCGTTGACCTCCTGGCACCTCGACCTCCTGGCACCCTGACCTCCTCCCACCCTCGACCTCCTGGCACCTCGACCTCCGCACTTCCCTCGACCTCCGCTGCTGACCTCCTGGCACCGCCCTGGCCTCCTTGGCACCCTCGACCTCCTGGCACCCTCGACCTCCTGCGCCCCTCGACCTCCTGGCACCTTGACCTCCTGGCACCCTCGACCTCCTGGCATCCTCGACCTCTAACGACTTCCTTGTGCCTTTGACATCCTGGCACTCTTGACCTCCTGGCACCCCAGCCTCCTGGTAGCTTTGACCTCCTGGCACTCTTGACCTTCTGGCTCTGACCTCCTGGCACCTTCTTGACCTCCTGGCACCCTCGACCTCCTGGCACCCTTGACCTCCTGGCACCCATGACCTCCTGGCACCTCTCGACCTCTGGCACTCTGACCTCCCAGCCTTGACTTAGTTATTTCTGACCTCCCTGGCACCTCGACCTCCTCAACCTTGACCCTCCTGGCACCCCGACCTCCTGGCACTCTCGACCTCCTGGCACCCTTGACCTCCTGGCACCCTCGACCTCCTGGCACCCTTGACCTCCTGGCACCCTTGACCTCCTGGCACTCTGACTTCCTGGCACTCTCGACCTCCTGGCAGCCTTGACCTCCTGGTACCTTGACTTCCTGGCACCCTTGACCTCCTGGCACCCTCGAGGAGAGAAATGTTGAAATCTGAAAATAAATGTTATTTTCTCTACGTGAGTCGACCCGCCACACTGAAGGTCATTTTCAACACTTTCTATGTATACGGACCAAAATAGACCAGTAACCTATGTATACAGACCATATGAGGATTAACTATGTATACTGACCTAAATAGACCACATGAGGATTAACTATGTATACTGACCTAAATAGACCAGTATCCTATGTATACAGACCACATGAGACGATAAACTATGTATAATGACCTAAATAGACCAGCAACCTATGTATACAACCACATGAGACGATAAACTATGTATAATGACCTAAATAGACCAGCAACCTATGTATACAGACCATATGACATGATTAACTATGTATACTGACCTAACAGACCAGTATCCTATGTATAAGACGAGAGACGATTAACTATGTATACGGACCTAAATAGACCAGTATCCTAGTATACAGAACATGAGACGATTAACTATGTATACTGACCAAAGACCACAGAGAGTACATGTATACTGCCTAAATAGACCAGTATCCTATGTATACAGACCATATGAGACGATAAACTATGTATACTGACCTAAATAGACCAGCAACCTATGTATACAGACCATATGAGACGATAAACTATGTATACGACCTAAATAGACCAGTAACCTATGTATACAGACCATATGAGACGATTAACTATGTATACCGACCTAAAGACCACATGAGGATTAACTATATATACTGGCCTAATAGACCAGTAACCTATATACAGACCATAAGGAGACGATAAACTATGTATACTGACCTAAATAGACCAGCAACCTATGTATACAGACCATAAGAGACGATAACCATGTATACGGACCTAACAGACCAGTAACCTATGTATACAGACCACATGAGACGATTAACTATATACTGACCTAAATAGACCACATGAGAGGATTAACTATGTATACTGCTCCAACAGACCAGTAACCTATGTATAAGATCATATGAGACGATAAACTATGTATACTGACCTAAATAGACCAGTAACCTGTACAGACCATAGGAGACGATAAACTATGACATGACCTAATAGACCAGTAACCTATGTATACAGACCATAATGAGACGATTAACTATGTATACTGACCTAAATAGACCACATGAGAGGATTAATTATGTATACTGGCCTAAATAGACCAGTAACCTATGTATACAGACCATATGAGACGATAAACTATGTATACTGACCCAAATAGACCACATGAGAGGATTAACTATGTATTGACCTAACAGACCAGTAACCTATGATACAGACCATATGAGACGATAACTATGTATACTGACCTAAATACCACATGAGAGGATTAACTATGATACTGACCCAATAGACCAGTAACCTATGTATACAGACCACATGAGACGATAAACTATGTATACTGACCTTAATAGACCAGTAACCTATGTATACAGACGAGAGACGATTAACTATGTATACTGACCACATGAGACCAATAACACACTATGTAAACAAAAGCGTGGGTATATGGAGGTCGTGACGTCAGAGGAAGTCCCAATACAGATATGGTAATAAGAACTCCCCCTCACTCATCCCCACTCACCCATCCTAACCTAACCACCCACAACCCCCCCCCACCCCACCCTCCCGCCTTCACACCCACGCCCACTCCACACAACCACCCACCCAGCCTACCAATGAGTGTTTTTCAATATTGAGTGGGTGTTGATTGCCCTGGGCACACACCTCAATGATGAGTCAAGGTAAGAGCCTCAAGAGCCCCTCATACATCATCCCCGAGGGGTGGGTGGTGGGGGGTGGGGGCTGGGGGAGGGTGATGGTTGCTGCTGACCTACTGTCCTCATATTTGGGATGTAACTTATCCTAACGTAACCTAATTCAGTCTAACTTAATCTAACCTAACTTAATTTAAACCTATCATGACCTGACCTAACCTAACCTATTTTCTGTTCTGTCTCCAACCTCTCAATCCTTCCTCCATACACTCCTCCCACCCTATACTAGCTTCCACTCTTCCTCCATACTGTAACCCATTCCCAATATAACTGTATATTTTCAGCCCTGCTGCTTTCCTTCAATAAACTGTTAATTATATATATTATTATACTTCCTCCCCACCCTATACTCCCTTCCTTCCACTCTCTCCATACTTCTCCCTCCCATCTATACCCTTCCTTCCACTCCTTCCTCCATACTCTCCTCCCACCCTATACTTCCTTCCACTCCCTTCCCTCCATACTCTCCTCCCACCCTATATTCCTCTTCCACTCCCTTCCCTCCATACTCTCCCTCCACCCTATACTCCTTCCTCCCATTTCTTCCTCCATACTTCCTCCCACCCTATACTCCCTTTCCTCCACTCCCTCCATACTCTCCCTCCCACCCTATACCCTTCCTCCACTCCTTCCCTCCATACTCCTCCCACCCTATACCCCCCTTCCCACTCCTTCCTCCATACTCTCTCCCACCCTATACCCTCCTTCCACTCCCTTCCTCCATACTTCTCCCCACCCCTATATTCTCCCTCCATACTCCCATCCTATACCTCCCCCTTCCTCCATACTTCTCCCACCTATACTCCCTTCCTCCCCACCCTTCCCTCCATACTCCCTCCCACCCTATACTCTTCCCTATACTTCTCCCATCCTATACTCTCTTCTCCCACTCTTCATACTTCCTCCCACCCTATACTCTTCCTCCATACTTCCCTCCCACCCTATACCCTTCCTCCCACTCTCCATACTCTCCCCTCCCACCCATACTCCTTTCCCCTCCATACTTCCTCCCACCCTACCTCTTCCTCCCACTCCCTTTCCTCCCCATACTCTCCTCCCCACCCTATACTTCCCTCCCTCTCCCACCCTATATCTCCCTTCTCCCACTCCCTTCTCCATACTTCCTCCCATCCCATACCTTCCTCCTCTCCATACTTCCTCCCACCCTACTCCCTTCCTCCCACTCTCTTCCTCCATACCCCTCCCATCCTATACCCTTCCCTCCACTCTCCCCTCCCACCTCATACTCCTTCCTCCCACCTCCTTCATACTTCCCCTCCCAATCTATACCCTTCCTCCATACTTCCTCCCACCCTATACTTCCCTCCCACTCCTCCCCTCCATACTCTCTCCCATCCCATCACTTCTCCCTCCATACTTCCTCCTATACCCTTCCTCCCACTCCCTCCATACGCTCCTCCCATCCTATACCCTCTCCATACTCTCCTCCCAACCTATACCTTCCTTCCACTCTTCCCCTCCATACTCTCCCCCTCCCACCCTATACCCTTCCTTCCACCCACTCTCTCCATACTCTCCCTCCCACCCTATACCTTCCTTCCATTCTTCCTCCATACTCTCTCCCACCCCTATACTTCCTTCCACTCTCTACTTCCATACTCCCTCCCACCCTATACACTCTTCCTTCCACTCTCACCTACAAACTCTCTCCACCCTATACTTTCCCTCCATACTCCTCCCAACCCTACACCTCTTTCCTTCCACTCTTCCCTCCATACTCTCCCTCCCACCCCATACCCCTTCCTTCCACTCTTTCTCCATACTTCTCCACCCCTATACTCCTTCCTTCCACTCTTCCTCCATACTTCCCTTCCACCCTATACCCCCTTCCTCCCACTCCCTTCATACTCTCCTCCTCCCACCCTATACCCTTCCCTCCATACTCTCTCCCACACTATACTCCCTTCCCTCATACTCTCCCTCCCCACCCCCTCTCCCTTCCCTCCCTTCTCTCCCCTCCCCACCCCTTCTCCCTTCCTTCCCACTCCTTCCTCTATACTCTCCCTCCCCCCCTGTCTCCTTCCCTCCATACTCTCCCTCCCCACACTATCTCCCTTCCTCCCTCCCTTCCCTCCATACTCTCCCTCCCACCCTATACTCCTCACCCTATACTCCTTCCCTCCATACTCTCCCTCGCACCCTATACTCCTTCCTCCCTCCCTTCCTCCATACTCTCCCTCCCACCCCCTACTCCCTTCCTTCACTCTCTTACCTACAAACTCTCTCTCCCTCGCTCCCTCCCGCCCTCTCCTCTCGCTCCAGTAGTCTTCACCCTCGTCCTTCTGTATCTTTCGTACCGTTATTTATCTTTCTTCTCTCTCTTATGCCCCGTCTTTATCACCCACTCCTCTTCCCCTTCTTCCTTTTCACCCTCTAACTTTCTGTTCATCTGTTTCTCTGTCTGTCTGTCTGTTATTCATCCTTCGTATTCTCCCAATTCTCCCTCTCACCATCCACTCCGGCCCTTGCACATTAACGACACACC